ATTAATCCCAAGTGCAGAGCAGACATGTTTAAAAATGTTTTTCTGATACATAAAGACAGAGAGTTGTCTTGAAGAATTTACACAGAGCTTGTGGCACATTTCATTACAGACAATTGGGTATCATGAGAAAACAAATAAGTAAATGGAGTAATTATTTGCGTATCTGACATAAGATTAATAAGGCTTTTTGTTTTAAATATTAAAGCGTGCAATATGTGTGTCTTGAAACAATGCATGTATGATAAATACTTGCTAGCTAAGCATTGTAGGAGTACAAAGCAACACATCGTTAATATCATGTAATATAACTTACATTGCTACTTTTTAAAGAGTTATATAAAATCTTGCTATTTAAAGCGTAAAGGTCCCAGAAGAGTTATAAATTAAAAAGATATTTTTATATCAGTTCCTGTGCTTGATCCATATTACAAGTTTCTCAGCCGGGTTGAAGGGAGCAGACTTATGGTAATTAAGTCCGCTTCACTTAACGTTTCACATTCCTACTTTGACTACAGTGAAATGGCTTCAGATAGTAAAAGTACACATTTCAAAAACACCTATTCTATAGTGCTATGTAATCAGATGTAGCTTTACTGCTTTAAAATGAACATGTCATGAGCAAGCAATAACTTATATTACATTCTTTACGATATGTTAATTAAATAGTTACCTCCACCGCACCAACATGCAAGGTCCAGGGCCGGATTAGCATAGAGCAAGCATGTCAAACTCAAAGGCTAACACGGGCCAAATAAACAAGGTTTACGTTTATGTGGACCGCATACAATACAAAAACGTCAGTTTTCATTAAAAAAGTTGCCTAACTGACACTGGACGTCCTCACGCTTGTAGGGCTTTAAAGTAAACAGAAGAGCAGATTTATTTTAAGGAGACGTGCCTTTGCATATAACCAATGTTTCAGTCCAACTACCTTGACATATTAACAAATGTTTGGTAATGGGACTGAAATGGGGAATGTATGCTATAGCACAGCTGTAAAAAAACAAATGACATTCTTCACTTTGGCTGAGATCATCAGACTTGATGATCTCAGCCAATCCAATGCTTTCCTATAGGAAAGCATTGGGAGGCTACTGTGCATGTGTGGCAATAAGCTACACGGCCAAACAGCATCCCCATGGGGAGCGTTCAGCTCCTCCATGCAGACCCAATCTAACACACCTGCCTCTTCCCATTCTAATACACTGCCCACAAATCCAATACATTGCCCCCCCCCCTCCACTGTTATACACTGCCCCATTCTAATACATTGCCCCCACTCCACTTTAATACACTGCCCTCCCTACGCCTAATTTAACACACAACACCCACCACTCTAATACACTGGCCCCCTCCCTACCTCCAATAAATAAATACACTGGCCCCCTCCCTTCATCAAATACACTGCCCTCTTCCCATTCTAATACACTGCCCACAAATCCAGTACATTGTCCCCCCTCCCTCCACTGTTATACACTGCCCCATTCTAATACATTGCCCCCACTCCACTTTAATACACTGCCCTCTTCCCATTCTAATACACTGCCCACAAATCCAGTACATTGTCCCCCCTCCCTCCACTGTTATACACTGCCCCATTCTAATACATTGCCCCCACTCCACTTTAATACACTGCCCTCCCTACCCCTAATTTAACACACGACACCCACCACTCTAATACACTGGCCCCCTCCCTCCCTAAAATAAACAAAATACACTGGCCCCCTCCCTTTCTCAAATAAATAAACTGTCCCCTCCTTCCTTCAAATACACTGCCCCCCTCCCCAATTTAATACAATGGCCCCCTGACTATCCCAAATCAATACAGTGCCATTTCCCCCCCATTAATACACTGCACCCCTCCCTCCCATTAACACACTGCCACCCCTCCCCAATGTAATACACTGGCCCCGTCCGACATGTTAATACACTGTCCTTTCCCTCTCTTAAATTAATACACTGCTCCCCCCCCAATAATACACTACCCCCACCCACCACTCTAATACACTGCACCCTCCCTTCCTCAAATAAATACACTGCCCCCAAGCCCCTCTTCTCTTACCTTAAAATTTGATGTCTGTCCTCCAGCTCCAGGCGCTTCTCTGGAACTGCGAACAGTAGGGAAGGGGGAGTGGCTTATCTGGTCTTTTTTTGCATATTTGGTTACGTTATTCACATCAGTGGCCTACCCTTTAACCCCACCCACCAAAATCCTGCTTCACCGGACACAGTTGTTAGAGGGTATGGATTTACTTGAAAGATGAAAGCAAGACATTAGCATAGGGTATGTGTTATCTGATAGCTATATCCTGTGAGTTTCCCTCCAACACCATCTCCACCAGGTACCTGACGCTTGGGAGGTGTGACTGTTTTAGTGTTTTCTGTTGATAAGATTCTGTAATTAGGCCCATCATATTTGCCAGCACCAGGCCCAATGGGCACTTAATCCAGCTCTGGCAAGGTCCACAGATGTTGCACTAGTGTGAAACCAAGTTCTCAATTCACCAAGCCTGGTACACCTCTCTGATAACACTGACATGCTGCCTATATTGCAAACACATCAGCAGTCAGAACAGAGTGACAGATTTTAATTTTTTATATTTTCTATATTTCTCTGGCAAAGTGTCAGGTGTGAACCAGAGCTATGTCACAGTAACTAAAATGCACTTGCTGTAGTTACTATGAAAGAGGACAGGAAAGACAAATTCAGGAAGGTTCTCCTGTTGTCTTGTTGCTCAGTTATCAGCATTCTTACTTTGCCATCAAAATTGAATTGATTGACAGGTGAGAAGAAGGACCATACCATCCCCTTTTAGTTTCCATTTTTTGAAAAGTGCTTACATTTGTTCGCAATTCTGCTAGTACAATGCAGTGTTGAATTTTTCTCCTCATCATTTAACATCAACTTGTATTTAGTACTCCATGGGGTTCCATTTACTAATTCAATGTATTCTATTTGGAACACGGCAATGGGCAGTTCTACTCTATAGAATAGAACATGGTGTGCAGCAAGGAAGGTCAGTTATAAATTTGTGTTCTTTATTTTATATATATATATATATATTTTTTTTTTTCTGTTTTAGGTCTTTGCAGAATTGGGTGGGCGTATTATTGCACTGGAGGTGGAGCTGCCGCCGCACTGCTTATCTGCACATGGTTATCGTGCTTCTCCGGAAAAAAACGAAAGCAATATCCCTATTAACTCTTACAATCAATACCAGACGGCAAGGGAGGCTCTGTAAGAAATTAAGTTATGACTTTCTGAAAAGTCCTTTGGCATTTACATGAAGGACTTTCAGCGAACTGGCCTGGACTTTTTGCAACAACGTTGTCCGACAGATCTAATGCACAAAGTAAACATGCCACTTGCATTCTCTAAAAGTGTGGAGAGTCAACTCCAGAAGATTTAATATGCTGTTGAGAAGCCAGAGTTAATTGTTTTGTTGGAAGGAAGGTAACTCATCAGCTTTCTGACTGTTCCTGGACTGCTACTCCCAACAAAGCCATCTCGTATATCATGTCACCTCTCATATCCCTGTAACAACCACTCCTGCTGGTCAAGGATGATGAGAGTTGAATCCTAAAACAGTCAATATTAAGGCAGGGTACCTTGGCCCTGGACTAAGTTTGTTTACTCTGAAATAAAGCACACATGCAACACATACCAAGATAGCATTTTAGTACGCAGTTTCTTTGGTCCAGGAGTTGTCAGCTTTTATAGAACAGGGGGATCATAATGCTTTACCAGCCCACTAAGACATGGTTTTCAACATAAAATAGTCTTGAACTTAAACTCCCATAAATCTTTGCAGCCTACCTGCAAGCATAGCATAATGGGAACTGTTCTACAGTAGCTGGAGAGATAAGTCCTGGCTACTCCTTCTTAAATCAACTTGGTGCGAAAAAAGGGGGCAGCAACAGTACATTGCAGCACAATCGTTTAGCAGTTTCCTAGGTAATGAAGATCAGTATTACTTTTCACCCACTATTTCATATAACCATGTAAGTCCTTAGTTGGATTAATACTCTCCGTTTATGCTGTTTTCTGTGTTTTGTTTTTTATCTGTGCACCCACGCACCCCATGTAGAGATATATATTTGATTATCTTTGAACAAGCCGACGCGTTTTCAGAATTTGTACAAACCACAATATGTAACATAAGTAACGTTTTATATACTCACGAAAGGCAGTTATCTGAAATCTTATCAGTGCGCCATTATTATTTGTGTTTCTATGTAAAGAATTCTGTTACTCTCATAAAATGCATATATTCTATATTGCCTCATAAATCGATTTTCCTATTTTGTGGTTTAGTTATCATACTTTCATGCTATGCCATGGCCATTATCATTTTGTAAGCTAGAAAATAAACAATACATGTAATATTATACCTTTGTATTTTGAAAATAAAACGTGTAAATAAACGTGCTTTCTTATTACACACTGTTCCTTAAACTTATAAAGCTGTTACTCTTCTTTTTACATCCATATGCAAAGCCACGATCTTTCCAACATTGCTGTATGTCTGTGAAGCATGTCTGTAAAATACTGAAGATCAGCATAAAGTAGATCTATTCAGTTTGAACACACTCACAAAGACAAAAACTGGGTTATTTACTAAAATGGGAATTTATGGGCATTTGAATAGAAGTTGCAAATTTTAGTACAAAACAGTTGATTTTGATGCATTGAAGTGAATTGGAAAATGATGCAAGTCCACTTAAATGTCATTACAGGCAGCATAAGACTGTATGCAATCTTTTACGTTATAAAAATCCTAAGTGATTCACAAACAAGACCATCTAAGGTTACAGACCCACTGGCTCCCAGTTACTGTGATTGTTTACTGGCAGAAGATAAGTGTCCTCATGCCTTAAAGGGACACTATAGGCACAAAAACAACTTTAGCTTTATGAAGCAGTTTTGGTGTGTAGATCATGCCTCTGCAATCTCACTGCTCAATTCTCTGCCATTTAGGAGTTAAATCACTTTTGTGTCAGTTTATGCAATGCTAGGCACACCTCCACTGCTGGTGACTCACACACAGTCTGCATAAACTATTTAATTTGCAATCCCATTTTGCAGCACAGTGTGTTTACTTTGCATGTTATTATATCCTGCTTTGTTAATCTCTTAAGGACAGAGGTAATCGTCCAAGTTAAGATCCAAAACCTTAAATTTGTGCATCTCCCCTTAACACTCTACCAACCATATCACTTACCCTGTGCTAGCAATAACCAAATACCTACCATAACCTTACACTTAACCCTACACTCTTACTAACCCAGCATTAACACAAACCCAGCATTAACACTAACCCTACATCTAATCCTAGCCCTACCCTAACCCCAATGCTAAGGAAACCCTTTGGTAATATTAGTTCTGATATCAGCAAATGGGTTTCATAGTTAATACGGTAGAAGGTGGTATGATGCTGTCATCTACTGGATTTTTTACAGTATTACAGGAACATTTTCCTGTATTAATGAATCGAGCATGCTTTCGTAGCCTATTGCACTGTGATCAGTGCTGGGTAGCTGGTAAAGCAAAGATGGCGAGTGTAATGATAAATTGCGTCAGTAGGAGGCAAGTTAAGAGACACGTCAAAATGTGGGCGTGTCTTAATTTGATTCCATAACACAAAACTGGTAATGGAATTTTTGAGAGACGTAAATGATGCAGCTAGAGTATAGAGCTGAATGCAAATTAGGTGACAATGTTTACATTTATGGGATATATTAACACCAACAAAATTCACAGTGAAACCACAAGGAGTGGAAAGAGCACAATTTTGGCAGAAAGTGTCATTTAGCAGGCCTAATGAAAGGACTCCCAACAACTCATGTGAAATAGCCTGCAGATTTTACTTTTCAGAATACTAATTCAACATGAGATTATATGAATTGGGTCCTGTTATTCTGTTTCAGTGAAGATGTTAATCCAACTAATCAGTCCATCAACATGAATAACTTTCTTTAATGTGACCCCATGACCTCCCTGAAACCCGACTCAGCAATATATGAGCGAATCGATTTACTTGGGTCTTGGGGAGTTCAACTGAATACAAATCTGGAACTTTATAGTAATAGGACACATCATGGCTTTCAACACAAAAATGCAATGTGTAGGAAAACCACACAAATTACTGCTAAATAAATCAGAAATTTGTTATGAAACATCTGTGGGTAGAGACACAAAATCCCCCATGTGAAATCGCTGAGTTTGGCACATAATATGGCATGATGAGACATGTGACTGGGTGTTGTTATTCTGTCATATTCATTGAATAAGCTATGGTCCAGCATTCCTTTATGCAGTGTTCCGTTATTGGTGTCCCAAATCGGGTAACGTTTGCCTCCTCCAAAGATCTTTATGAAACCTGAGCTTTGCCTAAGTATGGGCCCAATAAATCAATATGCCAGAATTGCGAGTGTGAATTCTAAAATGGATCACTATATAGCCCCCTTTAGCATTCTAAAATACTGCAGACTGTTAATAAGGGTATTACTGTCACGGCTGGATTTACCCTCTCTGCTGCTCCAAGGCCAGTTTCCTCAATGATCCCCACCCATTAAATACATATGATGCTGTGTGTGTGTTTGATTGGATGGATGGATGAATGAATGAGACCAGTTTGGAGTATGTGATTGGATGGATGAATGAATGAGACCAGTTTGGAGTATGTGATTGGATGGATGAATGAATGAGACCAGTTTGTAGTATGTGATTGGATGGATGAATGAATGAGACCAGTTTGGAGTATGTGATTGGATGGATGAATGAATGAGACCAGTTTGGAGTATGTGATTGGATGGATGAATGAATGAGACCAGTTTGGAGTATGTGATTGGATGGATGAATGAATGAGACCAGTTTGGAGTATGTGATTGGATGGATGAATGAATGAGACCAGTTTGGAGTATGTGATTGGATGGATGAGTTTGACTAGTTTGGTGTATGACTGTATGGTGAATATGGTTGGAAGTCAATAAGTGCAACGTGTTAAAAAGACACGTATACCAACTAGATAGAGTTGAGAATGGAGTTGAGCGATGGATGAATTATTTTATGGAGCAAATAATGAAAAACAGAAATATCTAAAAATATGGGAACCCTGGATTAATTATTGGAAGGGAAGTAGGAGGAAATACTTGCTATGAATTGGTGATCTTCATGTGGGATTACAATTGCTATTAATTAGGAACAATGTTTATATAGAAAGTTAGATATTAATAATGAAACACAAACCTTTTATTATATGTTATTGCTGATATCTCTGAGAGTATTAGGAATCTAACATATAAATGTGATTATTATCATTGATAAGGAAAATGGCGGGATGATACGTGTAATATTGTCATGAAAGAATTCTAAAATTGTACTGTACTCTCAGTGATTGTAAACTTGCATTATACAATAAAAATGAGGTAAGATGGAACTATCTGACTGGGTGGATAGGGAATATGATCAGTTCAGAGTTTGTGGTTGAATGGCAATGTGTATGTTTGTGTGGAGTGTTAGTGAGTGCATGTGAATGATGGGTGTATGTGTGTAGAGTGCTAGTGTGTGAATATACAGGCGTGTTTTTATAGAGTGCCAGTGTGTGCATGCAGGAACATATTTGTGTGATGTTTTGGTGTGTTTGTGCACTGTATTTCCAATTCCCATCTGCCCCTATTTATCTTTATTCATGTATATGCCCTTCACATGTGTTCCTCTCCACCTTTCCCCAATTATACATTTCTCCCCATATCCCTCCCTTTCCAGTTGTTCCCTCTTCTCGTTTCACCTTCCCTTACTTGTTCCCTGTATTTCTCACTTGCTCCCCATCTCTCCTCCTTAAATCACCTGTTCCTCTCTTCCACCCTGCTTTACACAATTGTCCTCCTCTTTTCTTCCCCCCATCCATTACCTGTGCCCTCTAATCTCCCCTTCACACACTTGTTCTTCTCTTATGTCCCCCCCTTCCCAAGTTGATCACTTCTACTCCTCCTTCCCCTATATCTCTCTTCTAAATCACACACTTGCCCAGCAGTGTTGGAGATTCAACAGTAACTGCAGGCAGCCGGAGGGGCAGGAAGTCGCACAGGGTTATGAAGCTCATGGCATCTTCGCACACTCTCCTGCAGTTCCTTCAGCTGCCTGGGGGGCAAAGAGGACCTGCCACCGCGGGTGCCAGACGAGAAGGGGAAAAAGAAGCTTTTGCCCTTCTTGCCCGAGTATTCCAGCTACAGGGTTTCAGCAGAGCCGCCCCACTCATGTGTGCCCTGAGCCCGTGGCCTTATGGGAAATCTGGCCCTGATTACTGTATTACTGACAAAGCTAAATAAGTGCACCTAAGTATATAACCTAGGATATCTACTTTCTACAAATAAATATATGTTCGTGTAGCACTGTTAAACTTGATGTTACTGCGCAGTATACCAAAATGTTTGCAAAGTTTTAGATTTAAAACGGATTCTCTCCTTGTTTTATCTGACCTATAACTTTTAAAAAGCAATTGCGGTCCTAGACATATGAGACATTCACAAAATCAGGATTGATACTTTGATATTATTAGAGGTATTTATCTTTAATTACATTAGCTGTGCGGAAATTATTATATTGAAAACTGGGGAAACATTTTTTCATCACGCACATTTTATTATACTATTCATACTTATATCTGTATTTTATTTCCATATAGGCTAATAGACTAAAGCCCCATTAGTTATAACATATAAAGTGCACTTAATGAGAGAGTAAGATTTGAAATAAATACATTACAAAAAAAGTCAAAATAGCTAGTCAGAAGACCTTAGTTATAAATGTTCTTAGTATGAGCCTTGCGTTTGCAAACAGAGTAGTTTTATTCATGATTTACAATGAAGGACCCAGGACGGCTGAACTACACATTCCACACACATTTGCCGAGCATTGGTTAAGGAACAAGTCCAACATTCCCACTGACAGCAGAGGGAATAGCAGGATTGGCTGATAAAACTCAGCCACTTCATGGTCGCTGCAAATGTGCATCAAACAGGGAGGAATTTGTTCAGACGTATTCGTTTTATTTTATTTATATAAGCCATTATATAATACATTAAATAAAAGGACAAATTCCAGCTTAGAGTGCCCCTTTAATTTTAATCACTGTGTGAACGTTTTGAAATCCCAAATGGAAAGAAACGGTTGGCTGAAATTTTTTTATTTTTTTTCGTTTCCGCTGTAGGCTGATGTTTTAATTGCCTATCCAGGGAACTATTTTATATTGTATTTGAGACACTGATGAGTTGAAACAGACCACATCTGTGGTCTCCTTATATGACACAAACTGAAAGGAATCTTGGAGTTATTTAAAGAGATTGTCACATTCTCCTCTATATATGTCTGTCACAATGCAACTCAATACAATTATAACTGCATAGTGTAGGCTAGGTTTACAATGATTTGGGCTGAAAAGGTGACTTGGAAGATTATTCTTTGCTAATAAGGACCCCAGGGCAAGGGGCATTATTCTCTTAGTGCAATGTCTATCACATTCGAAGGCAGATATTGTTTGTTTTTTTCAGTAAATCTCACAATGGAACATTATTAACGTCCTCCTAAACTACCGTTTCTTGACATATGTTATATCAATATTCTATTTTTATAATTATGGATGTACTTCTGAGAGCACTGTAGCTGTACTCCCTTTTCATAGCATTTTTTCCTGTGTTTTTCTTTGAAGACACTGCTTAACGAATGTAGCAAAAAGACTAACAAAATTAGCAAAGAAGGTAATCAAATTAGAAAAAAATACTTTAAATTAATAAGGCGCTGAAATTGAACATGATATTGATTTTTCAACAGAGTCCATTAGTACTGAACATATTAAACTGTATAGAAACAATTTCATTACGAGAATGGCAGGCTAGTCACTGATAATAAAGCAAATGAAAATTATTATATCTGTGTGGGCAAAAAATATTTGAAACCAATGAGAAAAAAATACTTCCCTAATAACATTCACTAATGCCAAATGAAGCTGAATGGTGTTTCGTTGTCCCTACTTCATGATTGCTAGGTGACTTGGTCGCCTAACTGATGCCGGACGTCCTCACGATTGCAGCAATGCTTTCGTACGGGGAAGGTCTAAAGCGCTCAACGCACATGCGCATTAGTTCCCCCTTAGGGTAATGTTGGAGGAAGTGGAGAGCTGACCCAGCTCCAAAGGACATCGCCGCTGCAATCGGATAAGTATTACAATGTTTTTTTAACCCTTGTAGTACCAGGAAGAGGTGCAAGGGTGAAGGGGGACCAAAGGGAATTTGTATATGTATTCCTTTAAAGGGTTTCTCCAAGCACCAAGACCACTTCACTGTTTTGTAAGAAAAGCTGCACACACAGACTTATTTCATTATGCTGACGAAGGTGTAAGTTCACCTGCAGTCATGGGCGTCCGCAGTGGGGGATGGGGGGGGGGGCACTTGCCCCCCCCTCCTGGATTTTTCAGCTTGTGCTACTATTTTTAGTTTGTGTAATACCGGCACCGGCCAGTAGGTGAATGGAGAAAGGCAGGGATAGGAAGCTACAGCTTATCCCTGCTTCTTTCTCCTGACTGCAGAAAGAAGCTGCACGTGCAGCCAGCAAGCCTGGGGGTGGGGGGCAACCTACAGATCAGGTAAGTGAGGGATGGGAGGGCAACCTACAGATCAGGTAAGTGAGGGATGGGGGGAGACAGCCTACAGGAAGGTAAAGTAGAAGGAGCAGAAATGAGCAGAAAGGGTCAGCAAGGAGCAGGAGGGGTCAGCAAGGAGTAGGAAGGGTCTGCAAGGGGCAGGAGGGGTCAGCAAGGAGTAGGAAGGGGCAGCAAGGAGCAGGAGGTGTCAGCAGGGGCGGACTGAGAGCCTTTGGGGCCCCCGGGCAAAATTAGATCCCAGGCCCTTTGAAGGCCAAATATATGTGCATTAAATAAATGTTAAATATAATTCATAATACGGCATTCCTTTGGATGTGTGTATTGTGAAGACCTGTGTATCAATGCATGTTTGTATTTGAGTCTGTGTGAATGCACCTGTGCATGTCTGGATGACTACATGTGCTTTTTTGTATACAGTGTCTGTGTGAATGCATATGTGACAGGTGACAGAGTGTGTGAGGGAGAAGGTGACAGGTGGAAGAGTGTGGGAGGTTGTGACAGGTGGCAGAGTGAGGGGGTACCTGGTGGCAGAGTGAGGGAGGGGTTGAGTGGTGGCAGAGTGAGGGGGAGACACAGTGAGTGGGGGTGACTGGTGACAGAGTGAGGGAGTGGGTGACTAGTGACAGAGTGAGGGAATGGGTGACTAGTGGCAGAGTGAGGGAGGGAAGAGATGACTAGTGGCAAAGTGAGGGAGGGAAAGGGTGACCAGTGACAGAGTGAGGGGATGACAGGTGACAGAGTGAGGGGGGTGACTGTCACTAGTCACCCCATCCCTCTCTCTGTCACTAGTCACTCCCTCCCTAACTCTGTCACTGTGTCACCCCCTTACTCTGTCACTGTGTCACCCCCTCCCTCACTCTGTCACTAGTCACCCCATCCCTCTCTCTGTCACTAGTCACCCCATCCCTCTCTCTGTCACTAGTCACTCCCTCCCTAACTCTGTCACTGTGAAGGAAGGGGTGACTGGTGAATTCTGTGCATGAAAACTGCACACACGCATACTGACAAAGGACATCTGATGCTGGACTTTAGATATTATGGGACAATACGCCAACAGGTAGTGACATATACAGATGCACTATAATTTTTTTCTAGTGTACTAATTCAATTCCAATAGAAACACTCCAAGCAATACCGGTTTGTCTTATGGGGTCCACCAGACGGTGCCTCCTCCTGTTTTATCCACGAAGGATAGACAAATAAATCCTAAGCAGGATCTTCTGTTAAATCTCCTACCTCATTGACTGCAAGCTTCAGCTGATCACTCTTAGCCAAAGATCTAGGTCCTGTGCTGCAGAGCTTAGCTCAACCAAGAGCTTCCCACTCTCCAACGACCCTAGTTGAGGTGGGGACCCAAGTAAGAAGTTAAACAGTTCTAAAATGATTTCTAAAATACAGCACGCAGAAGTTGTGGTGTTTGGAGTGATCCTTTAATGGAAACCTTTATATCTGCATATTCACCCCTGCAGCTTTGTTTATCTTCACTATATTATATATTCACATATTATTCACTATATTATATATGCACATCAAGAATGCATAATAAACAGTAAGAAAAAAAAAAAGAAAAATGTAAAAATAATATAACAGCCAGTGAACTTGAGAACCAATTTGCTAAAAGTTCACAAAATTGATTAAAAAAAAAAAAAAGCAACAATTTGAACTTGGTTATTTTGACCCTAATTTTTGAAGGTTGATCCTTAGACCATCATAATTTACTGATTCATCTATAAACCTTTAAAAATTTTTACTTTTTTATCCAAATGTTTTTCTCATATAGGCTAGACACCTAACCTTTAAAAAATTTAGCTATTTATTTGGGGATTTCAGCAAGGCTGTCTTGTTGCTCTTTACTGCAAAGATTTATCTTCAAATGTTATACCTAAAAATAAAACTCTTTGTCCCTCTACACTCTACTACAGACTCATAGCCTATTCTAGTTTACAAATAGAAAACACTAAGGTCTAAATTACTATCTGTCTGGTAACCGATCAATAATTTTTTCTGACATTTGGCCAGTATCACGCAGACATTATCAAAGTGATCACAAAATTGTATCGACTTTAATTCTACCAGTAATGCAATTAAAGATAAAATAAATTAGGTTCATTTACTCAGGATTGCTGCAGGAAGGCAGGTTTATTGGAACAAAAAGTGCAACGTTTTGGCCTACACAAAGGCCTTTATCAAGCTTGTGGATTACTACAGTAATGCCATATAAAATTAGAAAATTTTATTAAGGTAAAACTGGGCCTATAACATACTTTAGATGATAATCTAACAATGTTGAATTTGATAGGCCGAAATCCCGCGCTTAGCAAGAAAAACATTGGGGCCTTTGGAAAGTTTTTAATGGAGGGGCAGTAACAGGGGGTGGAGAGGCAGTAACAGGGGGTAGGGAGGTAGTAACAGGGGGTATGGGGTAGTAACAGCGTGTAGGGGATGGAGGGGCAGTAACAGGGGATAGGGGTTAGTAACAGGGGTTGGGGGATGGAGGGGCAGTGACAGGGGGTAGGAGGGTAGTAACGGGGCAGACAGGAGGCTGGCTCTCTCCCGGGCAGAATGACAGGAGGGGCCTTGCACCCGGCGGAATTATAGGCAAGCCGCCGGGCCCCTTCCTGTGTCAGGTCCGAGGACCCGACATGGTAGTCTGCCCTAAGGCGATTTAGGCGGCCGTGAGGCCTTAGGCGGCCGGTTAAATCACCTGATTAGAGAGCCACCTCTGGATAATCTAAGCCAATCCACAACTGTCCCATAGGAAAGCATTGGGGGCTATTGCGGATGTGGATTCTGCTCTTGGTGCCAAAAAAATAGATGATGAATGAGGAAAAAATATGATTGATCATTAGAGAATAGTCACTAAATATTGACGTTATTCACAAATGAAGTAAGAAATGACCAACAGAGAGAAAAAATGGAGGTGGAGTAAAAAAAGAAATCAATCAATTTATATTTATATGCATTTCATAAATATAATAAATAATATATACATATATCAGTATATATTTTTTTTATACACTGTTTAAAAAAATAAAGGGAACACTTAAACAACACAATGTAACTCCAAGTCAATCACACTTCTGTGAAATCAAACTGTCCACTTAGGAAACAACACTGAGTGACAATCAATTTCACATGCTGTTGTGCAGATGGGATAGACAACAAAGGAGTGGTTCTGCAGGTGGTGACCACAGACCATTTCTCAGTTCCTATGCTTCCTGGCTGATGTTTTGGTCACTTTTGAGTGCTTTCACTCTAGTGGTAGCATGAGACGAATTCTACAACCCACACAAGTGGCTCAGGTAGTGCATCTCACCCAGGATGGCACATCAATGCGAGCTGTGGCAAGAAGGTTTGCTGTGTCTGTCAGTGTAGTGTCCAGAGCATGGAGGCGCTACCAGGAGACAAGCCAATACATCAGGAGACGTTAAAGAGGCTGTAGGAGGGCAACAACCCAGCAGCAGGACCGCTACCTCCTCCTTTGTGCAAGGAGGAACAGGAGGAGCACTGCCAGAGCCCTGCAAAATGACCTCCAGCAGTCCACAAATGTGCATGTGTCTGCTCAAACGGTCAGAAACAGACTCCATGAGGGTGGTATGAGGGCCCGACATCCACAGGTGGGGGTTGTGCTTACAGCCCAACACTGTGCAGGATGTTTGGCATTTGCCAGAGAACACCAAGATTGGCAAATTCGCCACTGGTGCCCTGTGCTCTTCACAGATGAAAGCAGGTTCACACTGAGCACATGTGACAGACGTGACAGAGTCTGGAGATGCCGTGGAGAACGTTCTGCTGCATGACCGGTTTGGCAGTGGGTCAGTAATGGTGTGGGGTGGCATTTCTTTGGGGGGCTGCACAGCTCCATGTGCCCGTCAGAGGTAGCCTGACTGCCATTAGGTACCGAGATGAGATCCTCAGACCCCTTGTGAGACCATATGCTGGTGCGGTTGGCCCTGGGTTCCTCTTAATGCAAGACAATGCTAGACCTCATGTGGCTGGAGTGTGTCAGCAGTTCCTGCAAGATGAAGGCATTGATGCTATGGACTGGCCTGCCCATTCCCCAGACCTGAATCCAATTGAGCACATCTGGGACATCATGTCTCGCTCCATCCACCAACGTCACGTTGCACCACAGACTGTCCAGGAGTTGGCAGATGCTTTAGTCCAGGTCTGGGAGGAGATCCCTCAGGAGACCATCCGCCACCTCATTAGGAGCATGCACAGGCATTGTAGGGAGGTCATACAGGCACGTGGAGGCCACACACACACACTACTGAGCCTCATTTTGACTTGTTTTAAGGACATTACATCAAAGTTGGATCAGCCTGTAGTGTGTTTTTCCACTTTAATTTTGAGTGTGACTCCAAATCCAGACCTCCATGGGTTGAAAAATTTGATTTCCATTTTTTAATTTTTGTGTGATTTTGTTGGCAGCACATTTAACTATGTAAAGAACAAAGTATTTCAGAAGAATATTTAATTGATTCAGATCTAGGATGTGTTATTTTTGTGTTTGGTTTATTTTTTTGAGCAGTGTATACTCTTGTTTTTCATCTGTTGGTTATTTTTTCTCACTTGATCTGTGAACTAAATGGTGGGAAAATGTTCCATTGGTGTACAGCAAAAAATATACATAATATTATATATACTGATTAGACCTTTTGTTTTGTCAGATTCTGTTCCCCAATTGAGTTTTTGGTGCAGAAATTCTGGCAAGTCAAACCAACATTTTGGGCATCCTGAAAAATGTTCTATTTTGAGGATAAATGGTTCGGTTGAGCCGAATTTTGTTGCTGTGCACAAGTCTAGTCTGTGTCAAATACCTTGTTCGTAATATAGAAATGGCAATGGCTGTGTAATAATTGAACACCACATTTTCTCACTATGCGGGGAGTCCCACCAGTAAGAAAATAAATGCATTGTATTTTAATATGAAATGCTTCACTTCAAATGTTTAATGGCTTTCATTTGTTTAATCTGCAGGAGGTCATAAGGCCTTATTATCAAAAATGAATATGTATGTATTACAGTAAAATTAAAATAGTTTCTAGTGAATGGAATTATGTTAATCTGATTTTCATGTTTATAATTGCATTTGCATTTATAAACTTTATCATTTTTATGCGGAGCCAATCTTGCCTCGGAGTTATCTCCTCTTGGTGTTTTGATTCATTCACTAAGAGCAATGTAGTCAAATTCAGCAGCTCTGTGAGCAACCCAAAATTAATATAGGTGAGCTGTGAAAAATTAACTAACCTAACGGACCTGTGACCAACACAAGATGAAAAATCTGGACAGCTGTAACAAAGCTGTGAATAATTGACATTGGCTTTAAGAATAAAAAACATGTTTAAAATCTTTAGTTTCTTCTTTTTTTTTTTAACAAAAAGTATTGTGAAAACCTTTGTACAAAATATTTTTAAAATAGCATAATTCAATTAATAAAGGCACTTCAAACTGAAGCAAACCATAATTCTTTTAACATTTTTTTCATTCTTTATGCTTGAGAAAGTAAGTACAATGACAGACAGTGACAATGGATTCATAAGACAAGCAAGAATGTCATTAATAAAACAATGTCATTGTAAGCACAGTAAGACATTTGTGATTATACAACTTGTGTAGGCAATAGGTTGAATATTAAAGGTATCAAATCAACCTTGAACCAACATATTCAAAGAATTGATCCAATTGCATACTCTTGAAGATGGCCAAATAAGATTAGGGTCCATGTCACTGCCAAAATATAATGAGGTCCATTACGCCATCCCCCACTGTCACAATAACTATCCAGGAAAACATTATATGTACCCATTCCACAAGGATTTTCTCCTGATCGGTAAGGATTCCACTCAGGAGATGAAAGGGTGAGAATAGGCCAGAAGAAGAAGGAAAAAAGAAGA